CTACAAGATAAGGATCACAGAATTGTCTTTAATTGGCCTACTCCTGCTATGATCGGGGAGTAACATCTGTCTGGTGGTCAAGAGTATTCATTCACATGTAAAATGGCTGTTCAGATCATAGGTACCAATCTTCAACTTAAATGTCATTTAAGAACTTCTTTCCCCAATTTTGTCAAAAAGTTCAATTCGCTTTCCCAATTCCAATTCATTTTGCTTACAGTGAGTGGATGTATTTTAGCCTTAGAGAAGAGTTGTCACAAATGTTTTTAATTAATTCCCAAAAGGTTAGATTATTTCAGGATTTTCCCCCTCCACTTAATGAGCACTAGGGTGTTAAACAGAAGACGAACACCAAGGGCTCCAAAGTTCAAGGCTCACCACCTGCAGGAAAGGACACACAGGCCTCGTAGGACCCCAGGCACCGTGAGTTCACCTGAGGTCTCACATAGGAAAACCACTATATCTACATTCATTTGTGGCCTTGGATTTATGGAAACTTCTAGAATACATAAAGGGGAAGGTCAACGTTTTGGATTAGGCTGAAGGCAAAATTCATTTAGGTATAGAAAGAAAACAAAGCCAGCAGTGTGAGGAAGCTGGCCGGCCCACAGCTGGGAATGAGATCATTTCTCCTGCACTAGTGTAGCACTGGACTGCACTCACAGAAGTCAGAGATCATCGCCGTGCAGTGGCCGCCACACTTAGGAGCAAGAAGACACGTTTTCACAACTGGGCCAACCAACCTGAGACATCATTACTCTATAATTTCACCACACAAACATTTTGGGATCCCAAAAGAAAATTTGCTATCTTCATTTGTCTCAGGACGAACAAATTTAGGGGGATGACTTTGACAGCTTGAATGTATAATTTTTATATCTCAAAGTATAAAATTTTGATATGTGTATGTGAGAGACAGAGACAGAGGCAGAGAGACAGAGAGAAAGAAACAGACAGACAGACAGAAAATCACTATAATAAACTTCAGGGAGGTGATTATAAAATATAAACCAACAGAAAACTAAAGCATCAATCCTAAAATATATTTTGCTGATAGATACCTGGGTAGCCAGGTTGTATTTGTTGTGGGGAGAAAAATGAGTTTTGTTTTTCTTAATGGGGCCTCTGGCTCAAAAATCGAATCCAGGCCAGGCTATTTCAGATGGAAACCCACCACATTCGATACAGCACAACATTAAAAAGGTTCAAAAGGTGAAAGAAACTTTTCATCCTGACCAAACTCTAAAAGGAATTTAAAAATAAAATTTGAGCCACTACCGGCATAGGACTGGAATAAGAGCAAGTTTTATCACTGTTACCACAGAACACTAGACTGAAAATATCTTATTTGTTCAGCCTTGTTAATAGTCTTTTAATGGATGTTTGACAAAATGCTGGCTGCTCCACCACAAATATGATGAAAGAAAATCTGTCCCCATCCAGCATCAACCCACTGGCCCACGTGCGATCATTCCATTAACTCCCCACTAGGGGGTGTCATTTCAGGCAACAGATTCAAGGGCGCATTTTTGTACTAGGGTATGTCCATGCATGGCCCACCTGGGTGAACAGATAAGTTGAGATCGCCAGGAGTGCCCTGGGAGGTAAGTACCCACCCTCCCCTCTCTGAGACCTCCCGAACTGGGATTCTGTAGTACCGTGTTGAAGCCATTTCCATTCTTTACACAAAGCCAGAGCCAGCAAGCTGCTTACTCCGGAGAGCCAGAAAACAACTGGCCCTCCTGCTCAGGCTACGCTGCCCATAGGCAGCAGTGAACTCCTTCCTCCCTTGTCTACTGGTTAGCGGTGGGGCTGTGGGCTCCGGGCCTCTTGATGGGCTAGCAGAAGCTCTGGGTGGAGAGATGACTTCCCCCTGGATAGTGAGGTGCTGATCTCCACAGACAGGGGTCCACAAGCTACAGCTTTCAATCTATAAAGTTCTTCGGGTTCAGAAAGCTGGTTAAACAAAGGTCAAGGAGAGAAGAGTGTTAGTTTCCAAGGAGACAATATCCTAGCTTTCAGCTGCCTAGAAAAAGGGAAAGAGCTCAGGCCAGGGGGGCTAGGTATCTGTGGGACTTCCCAACAGTTACAAGGGACTTATGGGCACAGTTTTCCTGCAGCCTGGGGCAGCCCATTCATCCACATCATATATAAAGTGCGACAGAGACACCAAAACGGGGCAATCACTGAGTGAGAATTGAATGCAGGAGTCGGCAAACTCTCTGTAAAGGGCCAGACAGTGACTATTTTAGGCTTTGTAGGCTGTGTAATGGCCGCTGTATTTCTCAAGAGCTGGTAATACATTAAATGGGCATCACCATTAAATCCTTACAAATAAATAAATCCTTACAAATAAATCCTTACAGAATCAGGCAGCAGGTCAGATTACACTGAGGGCCACAAGTTTTGCCACGCCCCAATCTCTAGACAGTGGAATCCAGCCAATAGAGGTAAATAAGCAACAATCAACCATTAACACAAGGGTTTCATGAACCATTCTAATCTTCCAGATCACCTGATCCTTTTGAGCTGAATGGAGTTAAACTCTCCACTAGTAGTCATAATTATCAAAAACTCAAAAGCACTCTGCATCATCTAGAGACAACGGAAGAAACACAATGACAAATTCCACTACAAGGACATTTGAAAGGGGGCAGGAACCAAGAACGACTACAGTCTACTACCAATGCTCTTTCCTTCCATCAGGCCTCACCAATGTGCCAACAGTCGGGCCAACAAGGCAGCAATGCACCCTGGGGGCAGGAGGCACAGCAAGGTTTGGAAAAGCGCAGGAATATCAGCTTTACACGTGAGCCTTCGGAAGGTGGAGTGGGCATGTGTTGAGCTGTGGGGTTGCAGCTATGCTTTGGTGTGACCCACTCTGCGTCTGAGAGAACGGTACCCACAGGCTAAAGACCCCATCGCTCACAAAGACCACAGCGCCTCCTCTCCCCGCTCCCTTCCCCCCCCCCGCCCCACCATCCCAGCACACGGGGCACTCAAGGCACCAGCAAAGCTCAGCTGTTTTCATTTGAAATGGGCAAGAATGAAGTAGTGATGGCAATTTATAAGTCAGTGAGCTGAAGGCAGAGGTTTATCTGGAAGGCACAGCCTACTCGGCAAGGGCACGTTCTGAAGCAGCCACACAGGACACAAAAGCCAGCTCAGTCCTGACGGAAAGCCACGTGCCTATCTATCTCCAGCCTCTCCTTTTCTTTAAGCCTGATACTAATGCTGCACAGGGAAAGTGATTTGCAAGGATTTGATTGCGTGGAATGTGCAGTGTAGTATTTCAAGGATTCAGAATAAAAATCTTCAGGACTCAACCTAGACCTACGCTCCTCAGAGCATGTCAGGGAGGCAATGGGGATGCTGCTAAAGGCAATTTCTGAGGGAAGGTGGCAGAGCTGGAGAGGAGCTGTGGGTGCCTGAATGGCAAAGACTTTTCTACTTTCTACACCTCTCTCCTGTCTTGAGCATAAGGGCAGCCACACTCCTGCAGGGACCACAAGAGGAACTGTGGTCAAAGGAAAAAAGTCATCAGGAAAAGTGGGAGCAGTGAAGAGGCCAAGGTTGGGCTTCGTCCTTTAGGTGTGAGGCATTCCTGTCAACAGCACGTCTCTTCTCCGTGTCTCAGAACGCCCCCCTGTCGTCCTGTCATGCCTAGATACCTGAAGAGGACATGAAAAGAACATCTTCATGTCCAAGAAACTCTGTGAGACTGGAATGACAAAGCCATGAGCCTGGTATTGCAGGATAAGCCCAGCTCTGGGACTGCGCCTTGTTAGCATCTGGGTCCCTGCTGCACAGCAACTGAGCTGTCAGAACCTCATAGGGGTGAGGGAGAGTGATGAAAGGGGCGACACTGATCAAGAGGCACGCTGAACTGAAAGCCCTTTGTACAACTACTTAATGGTAGTAACAATAATGAACCTCCCAGGATGCTGGGAGATGCTTTTGGAGGCTCAACTAGGAGACATGGAAAGGAGAGTGGAGAAGATAGAAGACCTGAGAGGCCAACGCAGGGGGGTAGGGGATGAAGGCAGGGACAGGGGACAGGGGATGGATTCCATTCTATCTGTAAACAAATCTGAAGGAGCTTCTCCTTCCTCAAAGCAGTTGCTCTTTACTGATTCGGATGTTGATGTAAATGGACCAAAACAAAGTCAATCCCACCAAGGGAAAGGGACAGTGCCACTTTGCTTCACTGCTGCTGCATCAATGGTTGCTGAAGAGGGGGGAAAGGGGCCTCGTGAGCCCTTCACCTGCCAATGGTCACTGTGGCTGAGCAATAGCAGTGAGGAGGGTTAACGCAGAGGCGGAGACAAGGACAAATTCTCTGGTCTTAATGGGGAAATAAGATCCGGTTCCCAAAGGAAAATGATAGGCTCAATGACCACTGACAACCCCAGTACCCTTGGCTCCCAAGTCATGATACAATGCCGACTGGCCCCATATCCCATTACCAGTCAATTTTGGTTTGAATAACCTGGGTAATTGGAATATGTCCATACACCACACAGACCAGGTCAAAACTCTCTGGGCCTGTTGTCCACAGTCCCTGAGCACCAAAATAGCCACCACCTTTTGCTGAGTGTTCAACTTTTCCATTTCAAGGTCGGCCCTGCATAGCTTTTCACTGTTAACACCACAGTTGACAGAGGCCATAATTTCAATGAAACAGGAGCGGTAAAGGCAGTAACACGTGTTTAAATTAGAGACCCACTATTAAAGAAAAATGTCATTACAGTCTCATATACGTGGATTTCATCACACAAAAAGAGAGAGAGAGAGAGAGAGAAAGAAAGAAAGAGAGAAAGAAAGAAAGAAAGAAAGAAAGAAAGAAAGAAAGAAGGAAAGAAAGACAGAAAGAAAGACAGAAAGAAAGACAGAAAGAAAGAAAGAAAGAAAGAAAGAAAGGAAAGGAAAGGAAGGAAGGAAGGAAGGAAGGGAGATTGTAAGTAAGCAAAATCGAAAATCACAGGCAGCTAAGAGCCTACCTATGCCTGAATTCGCCCCAGTGATCAGGACCACCTTCCCGGAAAAGTCTCGGCCCTGCAGGATCTCCATGGCGGTGGTGCTGCCGTCGTACCTCTGTCTGCTGGCAGGCTTCGTGGGATTATCGTCCACGGTAAACGCCAGCCGTGGGTCCAAGTAGGTGGTTCTTTTATTTATATGGCTGCGGAGGAAAATGGGAAGCAATGAGTGCACAGCAGAGCATCAGCACACAAATGTGAGCTGCCTGACACCAAGCCCACTCTGGAGCCCAAAAGACTCAGGGCCTTCAGAGGCGCCTGGAGGAACAACCATAGAGCTACCAGTCTTGCCGCCAGTGCAGTGCGAAAGCCAGCAGTCTCTTGGGCTTCCAGAGAAAGCACAGGGACCTGGCCTTATTTAAATCCTTCATAATTTAAAATCCTATTATGAAGCACTTGAAGCCAGGCGCTGGTGACTCAGGTCTATGATCCTAACTAAATCAGGAGGCTGACATCTGAGGATCGCAGTTCAAAGCCAGCCTGGGCAGACAAATCTTAGACTTTTATCTCTAATTAACCACCAAAAAGCCAGAAGTAGAGCACTGGCTCAAGTGTAGAATGTGTCAGGCTTGAGTGAAAAACAAAACAAAAACAAGCAAAAAAAAAAAAAAAACTAAGGGACAGAACTCAGGTCCTTAAGTTAATTCCTAGTACCAGCATAAAAAAAAATAAATAAAAATAAAAATAAATAAAATAAAAAGAAGTGCACTGAGTGAGTTTCTGTGCAGATACTTACTCAACAAAAAACACCTGTCCATTCTCATCGGTCTCTTGTTCCCATCCATAGGGCAAATCTGAAACACAGCAAAGAATGACAGGTCCATGGATGGTAGAGTGAACAGAAGCCCTGCTTAGGTGCCCTGGCCCCTGAGCCTACCCTCCTGACTGACAGCTCTGGTCATAGATTCCCACCATGGCAGTCGCAGACAGAAGACCCACTATCCCAACAGGATCCACACTCTGCCTCCTGCTACAGCAAACCCTGCTTCATTCTTGATCGTTCTGAAATGCTCCAGTGCTATGAGTATTGCTGGTTGCTCCAATCAGTGTAATTCCTCACTTACATTGGCTCAGAGATGGTGTAGGAGTGGCAGGTGCCCCACTCCACTCCAATGCTGCCTGCATTGCCTCTGAGAGACCACAGAGCAGTCCTGGGGTGGTTTTCACACTAGATGCTTTAAGAGCAGGGACCTTCTTACCCTTTCTCTTCGTCTGTACTTCTGAAGACTGAACACTTGCTCAGAAGCACCATGACCCAGGCAGGAGTCATGGCGATCTTTGTGGAATCCCATAAAATACCAATATTAAATCTAGTATAAACTAAGAACAATGTTTCCAACAGGACAACTGGAGGAAAACCTAATAAGCTGAGAGTCAAAGGCCCCAATTATTTTAATACTTTTTATTTAAGACCAGCAAGTAATCACTGTCCTCTACCCTAAGATCTTATCACTTACTATGGGCCGAATCCCACGGGCCCTCAGAGTTCTTGAAGGTCTTCTGCCAGGGAACCAGGGGATACAACCATCTGTCCCCTCCCTGCCTGGAACCTCCTCCCAGCAGAATGACCGCTCCAAATGCAAGAAGATGCCAAGGGATGGCATACAAACCTCCTGCTACTCGTTTCCTTTTTCCTGTTTTTGGATGCTCCCACTGCGTCTTCTCCTCACTGTGACTGTTAAAACAAAATAAATGAAGCCCTAAGTAAAGATTAGCATTTCTAACATTTATGAAAAGTAAACTTCAGCTCAGTTTCCCTCCTAGGCAATATTCTCTGCCAATGAGAGTCAAATCAAAAAGCTGTGAGAAGAATGTGCAAAGCATTACATTGTCCTGGCTGCCTCAGGTCCAAAGTCTATGGGTTGGGGCTGGGAAGGTGGCTCAGCGGTAGAGTGCATGCCTTGCAAGCATGAGGCCCTGGGTTCGATTCCTCACCACCACATAAACAGAAAAAGCCGGAAGTGGCGCTGTGGCTCCAGTGGTAGAGTGCTAGCCTTGAGCTGAAGGGCTGAGGGACAGCGCCCAGACTCAGAGTTCAGGCCCCATGACCGACAAAAAAAAAAAAAAAGTCTATGGGTTGGAAAGAGCCATCCTTTGGGAACCCCGAATCCTTCAGGAACCCCACCTGGATTAGCCAGTTGAGAAGAACAATTCAGAGAGGAGGAGGACATGGAGGGCCAGACTCCCAGCTCTGGAGGCTACCCTTAGAAAGGAAGCTCCCTGATAGCCGGGCGCTGGTGGCTCACGCCTGTAATCCTAGCTACTCAGGAGGCTGAGATCTGAGGATCATGGTTCAAAGCCAGCCCGGGCAGGAGAGACCGTGAGACTCCTATCTCCAATAAACCACCAGAAAACAGGAAGTGGCGCTGTAGCTCAAGTGGTAGAGCGCTCGCCTTGAGCTGAAGAGCTGAGGGACAGCGCCCAGGCCCAGAGTTCAAGCCCCACGACCGACAAAAAAAAAAAAAAGAAAAGAAAGGAAGCTCCCCGAGTCCCCAAAACATCCGCAACGGTGCCTGGGTTTTGTATTTGTTTTAGTTTTCTTCCCAGATGATATAAACCACAAATCTAGTTTATGATGCTGATAATTCACATGTAAGACACAGGGTTCATCTTAAAATGCTGGTCTTTCCACAGATGCAACTTCCAAGTGTCCCTTGAAGCACCAAGTCCCAGGTCGCCAGGAGCACAGTGACCCAGTCCTACAAGTTATCCCACTGCATGTCTTCCTGTGCCTCTACTCCCCCATCTGTTAGCAGGCTACAAGGGTCACCTCAGGGCTGCTGAGGATGCCACACACATCCCAGGTCTCCTGCAGTGCCTGGCAAATGACAAGCTCTGAGGCATGCAGGCCATTTTTGTAAACAAATTGGTAATAGGCACTGGTTTGATCTCTGTTCCATACCCAGCATTTAATCTCCGCACAACACACAGTCATAACTAATGGGCTAACAGCTGGAACCCCTGTCACCCAGTGACAAGGTAGCCAGGAAAACACACAATTATTTCATCAGGGAAACAGTCAGATGCCGTTCCCAGAGGCATTCGAAGACAAGGAGGGGCTTCCTAAAAGCTCACATACTCCTGCAGAAATGGAAGAGAGAATTTCTTAATCACGTGGACATCTAGATCCACTCTTGTCACTTAGGCTGACATTCATAGGGAGCGTGAATTTCTCTAAAAATTTCCAGGTCATAAGCAAGGTCTGCCTTCTCAGAAATGGCAGGCTTTGGCTTGTTTCTACAAACTCCCAGCAGCTGGGCAGGAGAGGGGGTGATTTGGGAGTGAGGACTCCAAAACCCAAACATCCACTTTCTGGGGTTGTTATCCAACCCCCCTGTGCCTCAGGTTTCTCATCGGTAAAATGGAGACTGCCTAAGACACTACTGACTGCAAGTCAGTGCCCTACCCCACAGCAATAATACCACACCAAATACAGATTGTGGCCTGGTACAGGCCATCCCCGGGGCCTCTCCTCCCATGGCTTGCCCTACCTGCCTACCCCCCTACTTCCTAGACCCACCTGGCTCTCCTTGTGCTCTGACATAGCTCAGGTGTCAACTCTAACATGACCTCCACCTGCTGACACACACCTCATGCTGCAGAGACTGCACTCAGTTCCCACATGCACTAGGGCTGACAAGCTGTCACTCTGCCCAGAAAAACTGAGCGCTTAAGGATGATAACTGGGTCTCATTTATCCCATGTAACAGGTGCTCAGCAAGGGGCGTGGCACTTAAGATCTCTTCATGTATGCAATGAACTAACCAGGGTTTGGGAGAGTTTTATTCCTTTTTTGCCTGGTCACTTAAGATAGCAATGGTTCACACTCCAGGTAGCTCAGAATCATATGGAAAAATCTGCAACATACACATGGACGAGGGGGAGGCCCCAACATAATTAACTCAATCTCTGGAAAAGGAGGGTGAGGGGAGCTGAGGAGAAGGTGTTCTAAAAACTATTCCAGGAGCTGAAGGTCAGTAACGTACATACTACTTGTGTTTACAAGATTCCCAGCTGGGTATGGAGGCATACCCCTATAATCTTAGCTACACAGGAGGCAGAGGCAGGAAGATTTCTTTCTATCCCAGCCCCAGCTCCCTCCCCCAAAAAGTGTGACACCTTAACTGAAAAATATCTAAAACAAAAGGAAAAAGGGCAGGGGGACTGGAGGTGTGGCTCAAGTGGTAGAGCACTTGCCTAGCATGTGTGTGGTGGCTCAAGGTTCACTCCTCGGTATTGGGTAGGGGGGGAAAGGCGTGTGGCGTGGGGACATGGCTCAGCTGGTAGAGCACTAGTCAATGAATGAAACTGTTAAGTACCAAATTAAGTCCTGGTCTCAGACCTTAAAAAAAAAAATTAAATAGGTGTGTGTGTGTGTGTGTGCGCGCGCGCGTGCATACACGCCAAATCTTTTGTGGAAGTCAGTGTCTGTAAGACACTCCAGGTGGCCCGGCACCGGTGGCTCATGCCTGTAATCCTAGGTACTCAGAAGGCTGAGATCTGAGGAAGGAAGTGTGAACCCAGCCAGGACAGGAAAGTTTGTGAGACTCACATCTCCACTTAACTTCCAAAATGCAGGAAGTGGAACTGTGACTCAAGAGGTAAGAGTACCAGCCTTGAGTGAAAATGTTAACGGATACCCCCTGGCCCTGAGGTCAAGCCCCAATACCAAGGTGCGCATACACACACAGACACTCCCCGAGTGATTCTAATACCAGGCCTAAGGGGCTCTGTCACCTCTAGAAACATCAGGAAAGCCTAACAGTGACTGGACGAAGCATTATCTATTCGACCCTACACTCAATGCTTCATGCACAGTGGTACACTGATCAACCCGTTTCACAGATGAGTAGCTGAGACTAAATTCTTTCAACGTGACAGAGAAGGGCTCGTTTCCAGTACTCTTCTGGAAAGTGACTAGTTAGGGCATTTGCTTACACACTTGCACACACTCTCTCCCTCTCCCAAGCCAGACTCCCCCCGCCCCACCTCCTCCCCGCCCCGCAGGAAGGGGAAGGGGCTGGGTATTTGCATTTTGTTCTTATGTCTAATCTCTGCAGGAACCGCACGGTGCAGTGCGGCGTGGTGGTCAGCAGGGGGCGCGCCGATGCGCAGCCCGGCGAGCCCCCGCTGGACCCGGAGCCCGCGGCGGCGGCCGGCCCCCGGCGGGGGAGATTTCTAACATTTATGAAAAGTAAACTTCAGCTCAGTTTCCCTCCTAGGCAATATTCTCTGCCAATGAGAGTCAAATCAAAAAGCTGTGAGAAGAATGTGCAAAGCATTACATTGTCCTGGCTGCCTCAGGTCCAAAGTCTATGGGTTGGGGCTGGGAAGGTGGCTCAGCGGTAGAGTGCATGCCTTGCAAGCATGAGGCCCTGGGTTCGATTCCTCACCACCACATAAACAGAAAAAGCC